AAATAAAATTGCAAAAATTCTAAATAATACATATTTTTTAAAAAATAGATTTCCTAAAAAATAAATTTAAAAAAATCTAGAAATATCAAAAATATATTAAAAAAATAATAATTCAAGCTCTTAATGTTTATTTACATAAAAAAATTTAAAGAATAAATAAACACAAATAAAAAATTTATGAATTCACGTCATTAGTTTTATTTTTTACTTCCTATATTTTGAACTAAATTTATTATTTATTTTTATTTTAATTTTTAGTTAGAAAAAATATTGTTACATTAATCACCTTTAAAATGTATATATTACTTGATAATATATTAACATAAAATTGTTCTTTTTTTACTAAATAATAAATTTCATGAAATAAAAATATTATAAAACAACTTTATAAATTCGAAACCAATTTTGTTTTCTAGTTATCTATTTTGAAAAATAATTTTTTTAAATGAAAAACAATTTCTTTTAACAATTTTATAAACCCTCAAAATAGAGAATTTAAACTCAAGATTTGAAATACAAACCAAACGATCCCTTAATATCTAGTTCGGTTATGAAAACATAGATCTAATTTGTACAAATGAAATGTTTGAGGTGCATTGCAATAGAAAGATTTATGCCAAAACAATAATAAATGAAGCGCATGTCTTGTACTGGTTGGTGGGCTGGCTGGTTGGCCACCATCTTTCTTTCTTTCTTTCTTTTTTTTTTTTTTAATTGTGATGAAGGGGGGACCCGTAGTCGCTATCATTCAAGTGTGCACTGAGTAAACCCTCGCACTGACGCAATAACCTGCAAACTATTCCAACTAGCTAAGTCACACTAAACAAGTCTTACGCGATAAGCTCGACCGAGAAAGTGTTGGTAGGGAGAATCGAATTCGTGATCAAAGGTATTCGCACTCACCTGCTCCACCAACTCGATCACCCCATGAGGGGCACCATCTTTATTTGGCTATTGCCTTGCTCATTTTATTCACGGTCGATTCAAAATGATTTTTGAAAAACCAAAATGAGTTTTTGAGATTTAAAAGGTATTTTTAAATTAATTTAACTAATTTTATGAAAGTGCTTCTTTTAGTTAGAAAAATTTTAAGATGAAGCAAATCCAATCCCGTAAAAGTACTTTCGAAATATGAAAATCTTTTAAAAGTTCTTTTACAGAAAACAAATGAAAAAGCAAAGTCATGTCAAATGGATCATAAGTCATTTTCTTAGTATACATTAAATTTATATATATATTAGATTTTGACAAAATTTGATCTAATATATGGTTAAAAAAATTATAAATTTCGTGAAATGTGTGATTAAAATTAATTATTAACTTTGATTTAAAAAATATATTTTAATCTATACGGAATAGTGGCTTAGACTCATACTCGCCGCCTTTCTTCCTTCACACTGTTCATATCCTTTTCGTTTAGTATTAAAATTATTGGCTTCAAATCCACAACTATTAATTTTCATATTTAAATGATAAATTTTCTCCAAATTTTTTTTATAAAAAATAATTTCGCGCCATTGAAATTGTTTTCCTGATTTATGTGCTTGAGGTGGTCAATAATAGTACGCTAACTTAGTCTGGTCCATTTTTTTAATTACTTATTTGCCTTTGAAATTATTTTTGTGACAAATTATAGTAAGTCTAAGTTAGGTTTTTGTCACTTAATTTTGGGAGTTAGTATTCACATAAGTATTTAGTTAAGATTTTCTAGTTTCTATCGATTCTCGATATCGCAAGATTGATTATTAAATTATTAAAGTTGTGAAAATTACTATAGCAATATTTGTCTCGTTTGATAGGTCATAATTAATAATATATATCAAGCTCGAAAAGAAGTTAATTAGGATAATGATAGCCAAGTTAAAGCAAATAAGAGAAAAACTATAGTTATCGAATTTCGAAGAATTTCATTCCTTTGTTTTGAATTTTGGTCGATGCATGTTTCATATATATATTGAGTTAGTATTAAATTATCCTAATCCTAACAAAGTTGTTACTTGAGAATTTGAATTAATGGTTAGTGTTGACCTCGAAAATTGGTCCTTCCACGTGGCCAACTGAAAGCTACTTCATGTATTTCTCCTTGTGCACAATCAACAAATAATCAGGCGTACACGGCCGGAACCAACGGGGGTGGTGGCGGCCGTATACACTCCGACGGTCAAGTCAGGTTTGGGTGATCGGAACCGTACCCAGGAGCTACACCAATCGATCAATAAAGGGGGAGGAGAATATATAAACTTGTTATGGAGTGCTGTGTATTAAGAGTTTCATTACATCTGCCTCTTACCAAACCTTGGGTATTTATAGGTGGTATGAACCGTTGGATGTGGAGCGCGTGTATACATCTGACGGTATGAAGCGTCTGCTCATAGGCGTCAATCAGCCGCGTTTGTAGAGTGGACGGACAGTTTGTTTCCTCTGAGTTGAATTGACGTATAGTTGATAAGTCACATCAACTAGCCTCATGGAGATGTCAAATCAATTTAAGCCTTAGGTGTAGGACAAATCTCAAATTGACAGCGGATCGTCTAATCGGGGTCCACTTGATCTTGACCTCGGAGGTAAGATGCTTCGGCAGATCAGTAATAGGAATCGCTATATCATTTCGGAGAAGTTTCGGAAGGTCTTTTTCAGGTCGGAATAAATGGTGCTGCGGGGGATCCACTTGATCTCGGCCTCGGAGGTGAGATGACACTTCGGTATCCGAGGCGTATATAATCGGAGCGTAACAGTTAGTTATTAGAATGTTTAGTTGTGTTAGGATAAACAATCTCAAAGTCCTATATTATTAAAATTCCTCTTGCACGCGTGTCCTCAATCATCTTCACAGTTTAATATTTTTCCATCCATTTTCGATCTTATAACACAATAACAAAGATATATACACATATAGATTAAATGGTTCATGATTTAATCTTCAAGTAAAGGAGACAATCACGATGCTCAAATCCTGAGATTTGTTTTGAAAGAGGTAGATTCGAACCCTGTTTTATTTCAATTCATATTATATTTTAGCATGTATAAATGTAATTATATGTTATATGCGACTCCTTATGGGGTTTAAATATGAGCCTGTGGCATTGTAGTGTACTAGAAATATGAAGTTGGTGGCGTATAAGTGCACCAAAT